AAAAAAGCAAATGCTTTGGCTGCCGTTTTGCTATGAAATTTCGAAAGCAAATTGTGGAAGCACAAAGACAGCGCAGCAGCAGCAAATCAACAGCAATTTGATTATAAATTTGCTGCGAAGCATCGAATTGGCAGAAATAGAGGATATTATATGTATGCGTGCGCAAATCCACTAGTCGCTTACCCTGATAAGCTTTGCACTGATGGCGGAGTTAATATGTACTTAGATAATATACCACGCTGCAAAAGCGTCATGTGCACAACACAGCCAAGCAGATAACAGCATAGCAAAAGCACTATCACAGCAAATCGAAAANTTTTTCCAGCTATTCATTTTTTATCATATACAGGGTGTAAAATAATAACTATCGCACAGGTTTTTTTGCAAAAGAAAAGGGTCCTTTATAGAGTTTGCTACAACAGTAGACTCTACGTAACCGGACAGACCCAGGTGTATATTTGGCAAAATACTGTCACTCTAGCTGAATCGAAAAAAGCTCTTGAGAGTTTTTATGCTGTTACAACAGAACCCTCTCTGGGTTAAATGAGCTTTCAGGATATGATCTGTCTCTCTAATTTTGAACAGTCCGTTCTGTCAGTAAGGATTTGTATTCCGTTTTAGGTCTCATTTTACGCGGTTTTTTATGCGGATTTGAATTTATGCGGGTTTTCAAACCATTTTTCGCTGGAGCGCAACCCCTGTTTTTGTATGAAAGCAAAGAACTTTTCTATGCGGCTTTCTGAAGAACGCATATACAGCATAAAAAATACCTAAGTGTAAATAAATAAATAAAGAAAATCCTTCACAAACTCAAAGCTAATTAACATTAAACATTAACAGTGATTTAAATGGAAAATGATTTTTATTTTCTGTCAAATTCCGTATAAAATTCAAAAAATTAAAATAATTTTTCACTTAAATTGCTTTCGTGAAATCGGCTGNAACTTTTCTATGCGGCTTTCTGAAGAACGCATATACAGCATAAAAAATACCTAAGTGTAAATAAATAAATAAAGAAAATCCTTCACAAACTCAAAGCTAATTAACATTAAACATTAANGAAATCGAAAATTTCAAAGCTAAGCAAAAGCAAAAATAGTAATGCCGTTGCTGCTTTGCTGACAGTTTTTCAAACCCTGTAAATGAGCTTTCAGGATATGATCTGTCTCTCTAATTTTGAACAGTCCGTTCTGTCAGTAAGGATTTGTATTCCGTTTTAGGTCTCATTTTACGCGGTTTTTTATGCGGATTTGAATTTATGCGGGTTTTCAAACCATTTTTCGCTGGAGCGCAACCCCTGTTTTTGTATGAAAGCAAAGAACTTTTCTATGCGGCTTTCTGAAGAACGCATATACAGCATAAAAAATACCTAAGTGTAAATAAATATTAAGTAAACATTAACAGCCGGTTTCACCAGTGATTTAAATGGAAAATGATTTTTATTTTCTGTCAAATTCCGTATAAAATTCAAAAAATTAAAATAATTTTTCACTTAAATTGCTTTCGTGAAATCGGCTGTAAAAATTAAATAATTTAAGAATTTTGTGAACTAGTAACATTTTCAGAGACTTTGGAGAATATCCTATCTTCGCGTTTTTGAGAAATTGCATTCCAAACTTCAATCGCGGTTTCCCACAACCTGCCGAAATCAACATACGACAATCTTTTACCCAGGCGACGGATTGGGAAAAATACGTCAAGCAAGGGAAAAATTATAACAAGGCAACACTGCTTATTGTTTTCCCAAACAGCTGATTGAGCAGTTTTCCGTAAAATTTGTTTTGTCCCAGCTTGTTTTGCCGTGCAATTGCTTTTTACACTTTTTGAACCCGCTTAGAATAAAATAAAAAATTAAAGATTCGCAGTGTGTGTTAAAAACTTTCAGCTTATCATCTTAACTATGGCTGAGCAAGAGCCTGTTAACAATAGCGTAAGTAAAAAAATAAAGTTTTCGCCTGTACCTAAATACATACATAATGCATAGGTAAATATGTAAACATAAAATTGATTTGCAGGACACAGAAACCGAAAGTGCTGAGGATGAAATTGAACCAAAATTTAAGTATCAACGTATTGCCAATGACCTGCGAAAAATTCTCAACTCAGATGTTGTCACGTGTAGTGCAGTGCACCCGAAGGTATGTACTTTTTTCGCGTTTAACAGAGACTACATAAAACATTGACAGAAATACATAAAACTTATTATAAAGAGATATCATTCATAATTTATTTTACAGTTTTTGATGTTTGGCACGTTTTTGGGCCGTATCTATATATTCGATCACCAAGGCAATTCCGTGACTTCACATCTTTCAGATGCTCCAACCGATTTTTCACATACTGTCGCCGTCAATCACATGGATGTAGACGCCAAGGCAGAATACGTGGCCACTTGCTCTGATGACGGCAAGGTTGTGCTTTTATTACAATACTTTCAAACAATTATCTAAAAAATCAACAATTTTTAGGTAAATATAACCGGCCTATTCAGTGATGAAAATAATCAGAACTTGAACTTCGCGAAATCGATAAAAGCAATAGCTTTAGATCCAGATCCCAAGACACCTGCTGGAAAACGGTTTGTTGTAGGTAAGCATGTTTACAAATCGCACACGTTCTCAAAAGTGGCAACACTCAAAAAAAAGGTCGAACTAATGCAAATAAGTTATTCTTCACGATTATCATGTTCTCTAACTAACTGTTATTAATTGCGATGGATGTGCACGATCCATAAGCAGTTATTTTTTCGGATCTGATTTTTGAGTTGTGCCTCTTTTGTAGATGGTGTGCGATATTTGGATTAACAAAGATATACGAATCGCAAACAATCTTCAAAAGTGACACAACTCAAAATTTAGCATTGTGAAAAGCTTAAAAGAAAATAATTTTTCTATTAAGAAGTATATTGGCTCATGTTAAGTAAGGGTAGCATTTGTTGATCTAAATTTTTTTACAGGCGATGATAAGTTAACGCTGTATGAAAAGAATTTTCTCAAGAAATTAAAGACAACCGTGTTATCCAGCGCTGAGGGATATGTATTATCAGTTTGCTGGAATGGTACCTTCATTGCATGGGCCAGCTATCTAGGGGTGCGGGTCTATGATCTAAATGAAAAGTGTTCATTAGGTCTAATGAAGTGGGAAGAACCAGCAAAGTAAGATATACTTATCCTACTTAAAATTCTCATTCATTCAAGTCATTGAAGTTTTGATTAATTTTAGCTCCCGCTTAGAGAATTTCCGTTGTAATTTCCGCTGGTCAAATGCAACAACTTTGCTTATAGGCTGGGTGGATACAATACGGATCTGTGTCATACGGAGACGAAATTCTATTGAAGTAGCTTCACGAGATTTGCCCGGTTTCATCGTAGACCCGAGTATGAACAACCTTTTCACCATTTTTTTACAACAAAGAAATAAAATTGAAAATTTTGTCAGTTTCAACATTTCAAACAACCTTCCACATATCCGGCTTGGCGCCACTCACATCCAATCAATTGGTCGTATTGGGTTGTCCAAAGGAAAAAGATGCGGAACGTAAATCACTGAGACCGGTGCTTTGTGTTATGGAGTATAAGTTGAATTCCAGCGAAGAGATTTGCACTGATAGTCTGTCATTGCGTGGGTAAGGAACAATTATAGAATTTCACTTAAAAAGGATTTCATGTATTGAAAAAAATTGCCTTTCAGATATCAAGAATATACAGTTAATGATTACAGTTTAGGATGTATTATTGAGGAAAATCGTTATTTCATTGTTGCACCAAAGGATATAGTCGTTGCAAGTCTTTACGAAACGGATGATAGGGTCAAATGGCTAGTTGACCATCGGTAAGTGTGCAATTTTTTTGCTGATATAGATATATTTCGAATCACTTGCGATTTATGTTATCAGTGCTATGAAAGCTTTCTAAGAGAAGAGAATTTTATACAAAAATATTTATGAATTTTTGAATAATTTGGTTACTAAGCTAATTTTAAAAATCTTCATTTTTTATATTAGTTAGAAGTTTATTTGTCTGTAGATTTTTATTAAATACCCAAATATACGCTTTTTATGTATGAATAATGCATAATATGTAAAATTGATATACTCGCATACGTATACATAAATATGTACATATCCAACATGCAAAATAAACTTAAAGGTTTTTTAAGAGTTTACTAAAATTAACAAAAAGCGTACCAAACGCAAAATTTTGGTTTATAAAACACTTGAAAAAACGGTAATATAATAAAAACGGCCACCTTGTTTATAAGCGT